CCCGGGGAGGAGGACAGCGTCTCTGACACACGACGCGGTGATTCCCGCTGCAGTGGAGCCCACGTGCCTCGGGCTCTGCGGCAGCGCCGCGCGCCCCTCCGCCCGACGGCTGCTCCGCCGCTTTGGCGCTTCAGCACGGCTTCCCGTCGCCCTCGCTCAACCGCCAACCCTTGCCGGGAAACATCGCGAGAACAGCCCCCGTGCCCAGGAGGGTCTCGCGAGAGCTGTGGAATCGGGGAAGGGGTTGCGGGAGCTAAAGGATGCTCCACCGCCAGGCTCCCGATTAGAGAAGCGGCACCTCGGGCGCGCTGGACCGATCATCCTTCTCTTTCATGGATGCAGAATTGGCCCAACACCTAATATAATTAGGTGTATATAATACACCGTCAGCTGTATATAATTCAGGGTACCTATTATCTTTCTGATTCAAAGGATCTGGAAATAGTTAGCTAAACCCTATTACTTCTGTTCTACAGCCTTCGGTGGGCTACTACAGGAAATTGATTACAAGACAAGAAACGAGCAGGGCCAACTTTAAGTAACAGTGAGACCTTATGTCCAGATATCCATCTACAGTATATTGCAAATACATTGATATGTAAAGAGCATATCTGAAAACTAAGTGCTCTTTGGATGAGGTCTCTCTCCCTCCCCAAACCCTGAGTTTTCAGGATGTACACATTTGATTCTTCTGCAAGAGAATCACAAACTAATGTTGTAGTGCAGATCCACCTGTTCCATCCCATTTTTTCTTGCAACAGCCAATCTGCAGATCTTGGTTTTTTCCTCGTTTTTATGAAGAATGGTGTTAAATGCAGTAGACAGCAGAACACTGTTATGTGAGCTAAACACTGAGCTACCCTCTTTGGCTATGGGACAGTTGAAATTAAACATAAGGACTGTTATACAATTCTTGCGTTGCCAGAACTCAAGAGCATTTGGATCTGGCTTAGCAGTACTTGTATTACAGTTTCACACAGTATCTTTATGTATGTGAACTGCCCCTGAAACAACAGAATGTGGCAACATGTACTGCCATCCATAACTTTTAGTTGTTAAGGATTCATATTTACAAACCTCGCTAGGATCCTTGCTGTACAACTGGAGGGGTAACCAAGAACACCCCTTCCTCTTCTGTTCCTTCCTGGAAATTATTAACCCACCTCTGCTTAAGCCACCTTCCTTTTCATTAACTTTTGAGTTTTCCTGTGGTTCTGCCAGACTTTTCTGATACTTTACTGATACTTAGTTTTCACATGAATTTTTCAAAACAACACTACTCTCATCTCTGAACTTCAATAGTTTCTTAATTCTTTGTAACAATACTTGAATTATTTAACCACTAATCAAGAGCCTACAAATCTCTCCAGAGGGTGGGAGATAATCAAGAAACCATAAAGAAGTTAAAGAAAGTGACAAATACTAGACAGACAGCACATTTACTCTCACAGTAAAAACGATTTGCCTACAATTTAGTGAAAACTAAATTGAATTCAGTTGATAATTTTTTAACAATTGTATGTAGACATCAAACAAAGTAATGAAAAACTTAATTCGGAATTAAAGAATAAAATATAATATCAAAACTGTCATTTTTTTTTCAGGGCATTCTGACACATAATTAAGATGGAAAAAGCCAAAGCAGCAATTTATCAGTTCATGGGCACAGAAACAAATATACTGTAATCCAATTTTTTTTGTTTGTTTGAACATTCACTGTTTTAGTAGCAGTCCCACGATGCAGTGGAAGTTAAAAATACATTATTTTGAAGAATAAAATTGATATAAACAAAATACTGTCACCATCTTGGACAGTTCTCTGATGGCCACACAAAATACATAGTTATATAAAACAGCCAATTCCTAAAGGGATGAGTGACAAATTGCTTAATGATTCTGCACAGTGATGAATCTGCAACCAACATTTTAAGATCATGTACTATGGTCTGACATGGATGTTTCTAACATCATGTCACTTTCATTCATTTCAATTTCAAAAGTTTCATCTAGTGGAGGAGGTACTTCTGTAGTTTTTCTCTGATGAGGTGCTTCCAATGCCATATTGCTTTCTTCTGTACTTTGCCTTTCTATATCAAATTCCAATGCACCCCATGTAGGTGAGATGATGTTCTTTAATGTCTTCATAGTATGCACATCAAAGTCATAGCATCTGAGTTTATCCTTAATTGCAGTTCCTAAAAGAAATTGCTTAGGTTAATTCTCTCACATAATTAAGACCTGCCTTGAGATGTCTTTCACTGTTAGATTATCCATTTTTGTCCCATGTTGTAGACTGTAAGAAGACAGTGTTCACTACTGATAGTTTATAATCTTATATGAAGAAACCTTATTTCAAGTTGGTACATATTAAAATATGTTTTTCTTCATTTTTATTATTATTAATAACCTTGGTCAACCATTCATTATGGCAAATAGCTGCATAACACACACATCCCTCTGAGGTAACTACTACAGCCAGCATGGGATAATACGAAAAAATATGAGGAACAGTACTAAAATGACAACTTACCAATGTAGGCTTCGGAATCTCCAATATACATTTCTATGCAATGTCCAAGCATAGTAACTGAAAATGTATCATCCCTCCTAAGACCAAGGGCCTGTTTCAAAAGGATAAATAAATAAATAAACCCAACAGATTTTTTTTCAAGTATCTCTGTGTTAGGCAGATTTAATTCTCCAAATGTTGGCCCTTTATAGCCAAAATGGCATCAACCCAAGGGGGAGGTATCAGCATATTCTGCAGAACCCTTCACATGATTTGCAATAGCCCACAGGTTTTAGAACACATCCTACAGTGAGGATACATTCCTCCCACCAAAATAACCTGAACTAAGACAGCTTGTTGAATAAAAATGGAATGTTAATATAATGTCCATGGGCAAGGGAAACATGTAAGGGAACGGCTACAATCCTGAACATTTTGCTAGCCTGTATTTTGAAGCTGTGATTCTTTACTGCACAGTTTTGCTTGAACAAATATATATACTGAATAAAATACACACATACTGTATGAAAATAATCAATTGCACTTTCAAAGTTTCCCATCAGACTGTGTATGTATCCAATTGCAGAATAAGTAGAAGCATTCTGAGGAATCAATACCAGAGCTTGACGATGGTATTCAAGAGCTTCTTCATATTTCCTTTTAAAATAAAGATAAATAATACATTTGACAAATTATTACAATATATAATTAGCAAAATTCTATAGTATTTCTTTTTCTCGAGGTAGCATACACAGCATTCCATATTCTCAATTTTTTCCCCACAACAAGTATATGGGCTGCATCAGCTATGAAAGAATGACAGTGAATTTTTATGGCTGAGGGATATAGAAATTAGGTCTGACCAGTCCTAGTCCAACACTTTCGCCATTATACAAGCTCTCATAATAAAGAATAGTTTCCCTTTGCCTTCTGGGATGTTTTTTCCCAGTCTACCTACTGTACTGATTTTCATAAGGTTATAGAATTGGGACTTACACAAACAAAGAAACTTAATAACTACTGATTAAAATGTTTATCTCCTTTCAATCCCCATATGCACATACTTACTTCAGCTTTCTGCACACATGTCCCAAATTATTCAGTAAAGGTTCCCACTTATCTACTGTCACCTGTAGCGAAAATAACATCACATATAAAGACATATTCTGAGGAAAGGCCCCACCGAAATAAGTTAACTAATATTATTATAGTATGAGCAAATCTTCATATGGTATTAGATTTAATTTCATTTAAACCCTTTTAAAATGACAAACTACATAATGTATTATAAATGTATAAAATTCATTATAAATTTTTCTCAATAATATACAATAGGAGCCAGAATATTTTGGGTTTGTCAATGGATATTGTCCCCAATGGAGGGCAATAACCTTCCCATATTGTATTACCAACTATATATAAATCTCAGGTTAGATTTATTGAGAGGTTTACTATGCAGCATTAGGCAGTTCCTTTAGGCATATGATTATCTGGGAAGAGACTTATGAATAAGTGACAATACTGGCTAACAAAAAATTACACAGCATATTAATAGAAGTTCTACTGACCATGATTGTGCCCACTTGCATAAATATTGGGATCTGCAGCTATGCCAGCTCTATACTATAATATGGATGAGGAAAACTGCTGTAGGAATTAATTTGTTGGTAAGGTATCATCAATAAGTTGCTGATACTCAATTGTACATCACCACTCCTTGGCTAGGCCAGAGATGCTATGGAGATTCTAACTATGTGTTTGGAGGCCATGAAGGATTAATGGAGTTGCTATTTGTAGGTGATAAATCTGTCTTGATATGGTTTCCTAGTTTAGCTCTGGACAGGGT